CGTTCTAATGAAAGCTTGTTTTTCTGTTACGATATTTGCTTTAATGTAGAGTTTAATCACAACTTGTATATAAAATAGAAGCAATATAGACTGAATACTTTCAACGGCGCTGTTGGGTGAACACACAACACAACACAACACAACTTGACATTTTATTTACAGAGTAGTGTACAAAGGAATTCTAAACACCTAACTGACACTTAGATAAACATAGAAAGTGCCTCCCTCTCATGTGACAACAGAGATAATCTCTCACTCTCTCTCTCAAACACACACACACACACACACACACACACACACACACACACCTCTATATACCTTAATACTAATTCACTTTCCAATGTACTAAAAAAGTGTTTAAAGATTTAAGACAAAAGTTCTTAATTTACCACAAAATACTATGCTTAATATATTATAAACTAAGATACCATCTGCTAACCTTGACGAGAGAGGAGGTCCAACTTGTGTAGTCGTGGAGGCAAGATTATGTGCAGTTGTACTAGAGAGTTTAAACGTTTAACTCACTCAGTTCTCTGGCACATTCACAGAGTAACTAAGTGCCTCCCATTCATGTTTTCCCATGGGGAAACATGTACTGGACATGTACTGACAGGTTGGAAATGGGAGCACGTGTCTTTAAAATCATCAGACAGTGGAGAAACTTGATTATCCAAAACTAATACCAGAGACATTTAACACTTATAAAAAAAACTGATACTAAAGCAAAGTGAACTAACTGCATGTAAACTTTCTGAAAACTCCAGAATCATAGGGATAACTGAAACATGAATAAACACGATAACACCGGCGTGCCAGAACTATCCTCTCCTGGATACAACATCTACAAAGAATATAACATAAGTACATCCAGACGAGGTGTAAGTTGATATTTGGAAACCATTCTATATGTAAGATCAATAACTACAATGTATAAGCTTTTTCATATGTTAAAATACGATGTCAATGCAGAGGTGGAGACAAACGTCGGGAAAACAGACATTGGTGGACAATGGTGAAGAGCAACTTTAGCGAGACGTTTCTCCAGTGGAACAGGTTTCTTCTTTGTCTGAAGAAGCAAAGTACACAAGCGAAACATCTCTTAAGTTCCCCACTGCAACTATTTATATTTTCTCTACAACAGCAGAGGAACCCTACAATAGGCCTACTGGAGTAAGCTAGTCAAGGCCTATTTATACAAACTTATTCTGACTCGTAAAATTATTTAGATACATATATAACACATGAGAATGAAAAGGGTAGCTCTTAATTACTTGGATCAAGAGCCCTTGGATGATGAATCCTTGGATTCAATCTTGGATTAAGAGCCACCTCAAAAAATTACTATGAACCCATTACCTCCAATGACTTAGTGCTCGTCACGGCATTATGCCGGGTCGAGCACTACACTAAGAAACGTTTCTCATCAATGTCAGAAACATTCAGGATTGAACATTAAAATGACATACAACACCGAGAGTTTGATAACTAAGACATGTGCAACAGTTAAGCATCTTCATTTCGAAACGTTTCGCCTACACAGTAGGCTTCTTCAGTCGAATACAGAAAAGTTGGCAGAAGCAGTAGAGATGTAAAGAAGATGTAATCAGTCCATCACCCTTGAAGACGTAATTTTAAGGCGGTCAGTCCCGCAGGCTTGAGAAGTGTTCTTACATAGTCTGAAACAATGTGATGCTGGAGAGACATCGTCTTCACATCACTACTGCTGCTGCCAACTCTTCTGTATTCGACTGAAAAAGCCTACCGAGTAAGTCAAGCGTTCCGGATTAAAGATACTTAACTGTCGCATGTGTGTTTTATTTTCAGAATTGTCTCTCTGCTACCTGTACATCATTCTCTGAGGGTTGGTGAGTAATGCTTGCAGAGGAGGCGCAAAGGAGTGTTGTACACCCAAGGCTGTACATATACACTTAAGAAAGCTGTCTTTGTTCCTGTCATTTTACTCAAGGCTGGAGAGACTTGTTTGGACGTTAGTTGTACAGGTTTGCAGTCTTTGGCCACCTAGCCTATACTCTGTATGCGGTCTTCTTTGCTCTTCCCCGATCTTTATGACTTTGCATTTTGCGGGGTTTAATTTGAGATGCCAGTTGCTGGACCACGCGTCCAGCTTATCCAGGTCTCTTTGTAGTTCTGCCTGATCCTCATCTGATTTAATTCTCCCCATAAACTTCACATCATCTGCGAACAAGGACACTTCTGAGTCTATCCCTTCCATCATGTCATTCACATATATCAAAATTAGCACTTGTCCTTGGACTGACCCCTGTGGAACCCCACTCGTCACAGGCGCCCACTGTGATACCTCATCACGTACCATGACTCGTTGTTGCCTCCCTGTCAGGTATTCTCTGATTTATTGCAATTGCCTTCCTGTTATACGTGCCTGATCCTCTAGCTTTTGCACTAATCTCTTGAGAGGAACTGTGTCGAAGGCCTTCTTGCAGTCCAAGAAAATGCAAACTACCCACCCTCTCTCTCGTGTCTTTCTTCCGTTACCTTATCATTAAACTCCAGTTCGTTTGTGACACAGGATTTGCCTTCCATGAATCGTTTATAAGCTTATTCCGTTCTAGGTGCTCCACCACTCTCCTGCTGATCTTCTCAATGACTTTGCATACTATACACGTCAGTGACACTGGTCTATAGTTTAGTGTCTCGTTTCTGTCTTCTTTCTTAAAAATGGGGACTACATTTGCCGTCTTCCGTACCACAGGTGTGTGTGTGTGTGTGTGTGTGTGTGTGTGTGTGTGTGTGTGTGTGTGTGTGTGTGTGTGTGTGTGTGTGTATGTGTGTGTGTGTGTGTGTGTGTGTGTGTGTGTGGTGTATGTGTGTGTGTGTGTGTGTGTGTGTGTGTGTAAAAGTCACTTCACGAATCAATGTTTCGAACACCATCGGGAAAAAGTGTGTGAAACTCTACGTGTTTCTCTAAAATTTTTCTTTAACAAACTACTAATGTAAAGTTAAGTTTTAGCAAAAGTTTTGGGAAAAATTGAGACAGGTACAAGACCTCAAACAGATGTTTTTGACATAAAAAAAATATCTTATTTCTCCCGGTTCCCAACAGTGATGCGCAACATGAAGTATTTGTTGACATTCTGTACGTAACAATTAGACTTCGATAAAGATTAAGTAATTTCTTAATTGCAGTGTTATTGCTGTTATGGTGAAGCGTCAGCGACTGAGAGGTATAACAGCACCGTGTGACACGGGTGTTATGTGACTGCACCGTGTGACACGGGTGTTACGTGGCTGCACCACCTCGGTGCTGGTGCAGTCCCAAGCTCAATCACTCCTCTCCCCACGCCTCACCATGATCACCATCATACCTGACCGTGATCACCATCACACCTGAGCGTGATCACCATCACACCTGAGCGTGATCACCATCACACCTGAGCGTGATCACCATCCCACCTGACCGTGATCCCATCACACCTGACCGTGATCCCCCATCACACCTGACCGTGATCACCATCACACCTGACCGTGATCACCATCACACCTGACCGTGATCACCATCACATCTGACCGTGATCACCATCACATCTGACCGTGATCACCACCACACCGGACCATGATCATCAACACACCTGACCATGATCACCACCACACCTAGCCATGATCTCCACCACACTTGACCATCATCACCACCACACTTGACCATCATCACCACCACACTTGACCATGATTATCAACACACCGGACCACGATCACCACCACACCTGACCATGATCACCACCACACCTGACCATGATCACCACCACACTTGACCATCATCACCACCACACTTGACCATCATCACCACCACACTTGACCATCACCACCACACTTGACCATCATCACCACCACACTTGACCATCATCACCACCACACTTGACCATCATCACCACCACACTTGACCATCATCACCACCACACTTGACCATGATCAACACACCTGACTATGATCACCACAGCACCTGACCATGATCACGTCACCTATGATCACCACCACACCTGACTATGATCACCACCACACCTGACTATGATCACCACCACACCTGAGGATGATCACCATCACACCTGGCCATGATCACCACCACACCTGACCATGATCACCACCACACCTGACCATGATCACCACCACACCTGACCATGATCACCACCACACTTGACCACCACGACACTTGACCATGATCAATGCATCTGACCATGATCACCACAGCACCTGACCATGATCACCACAGCACCTGACCATGATCACCACAGCACCTGACCTTGATCACCACAGCACCTGACCATGATCACAGCACCTGACCATGATCACCACAGCACCTGACCATGATCACAGCACCTGACCATGATCACAGCACCTGACCATGATCACCAAAGCACCTGACTATGATCACCACTGCACCTGACTATTATCACCACAGCACCTGACCATGATCACCACAGCACCTGACCATGATCACCACAGCACCTGACCATGATCGCCACAGCACCTGACCATGATCGCCATGGCACCTGACCATGATCGCCACAGCACCTGACCATGATCACCACAGCACCTGACCATGATCACCAAAGCACCTGACCATGATCACCACACACCTGACCATTTATCCCACAGCACCTGACCATGATCACCACAGCACCTGACCATGATCACCACAGCACCTGACCATGATCACCACAACACCTGACCATGATCAACACAGCACCTGACCATGTTCACAGCACCTGACCATGGTCACCACAGCACCTGACCATGGTCACAACACCTGACCATGGTCACAGCACCTGACCTGACCATAATTACCACAGCATCTGACCATGATCACTATGTCTCTTACGTAAGATACACAACCCGTGAAGTTTCTCACAACATATTAAGCGCATGACCCAGTAAGCACACACACGTCACCACTGATAACATAACTTACCCACACTCGCGCAGCAACACTGAACATAATTACACCACGACCAAGGAAAACGACATACCTTCTGGAGTGATGGCTGTGGTGTCGTCCCTCACGAATATCCCGTTAAGACCTGTCTGGTTGCGAGTGTCAATTGCTCGTTCGTGGTGGACGAGTACCAGGTCAGCTGGGGCCTCGGGCTCGTGACCCGGGAGCTTGAGCACGCCGGGATCTATCCTCTGAGTGCTGGTAGAAGGTCTCGACTGAGCTAGGCCTTGGGTCACCCTTCCAGATTCGTCCTTTGCCGTCCTGAAAACGGGTTCTTTGGTAAAAGTTTGGTTACTGACTGGTTCTGAGCTCTCGGGAGTTTCAGTGCCAGGAGGCTTTTTGTTGTTAGAGTCCTGGGGAACGCTAGACACCGCTGCTTCCTCCGGCTTTGGTGTAACATTGTCTTGTGGACGAAGTCTACGGTCTTTGTTAGCAACATTCGCGCTAGTCACACGAGCAATATCTTCAAAGAGTGTCGAGCTGCTTGGTTCCCTCGACACCTCAGGAGTGGTGGTTTCACTGGTAGGTCTGTAGGCTCGGAGCGTCGACCTGATGCTGGTGCCCTGGGTCTTGGTTGTCTCTTGCTGTGTTGTCCTGAGAGACTCATGCTGCTGCTGAATGTACAAGTTAGGGCTGTCGGGATTCTGAAAGTGCTGCGGAAGGTGAGAGAGAAATACCTCTGGCACGTCTGCTACCACTGGTTCTGGTACCTCCAGTGTATCTAGACTAGAATCCGCGCTTGCTTCCCATATATCTTTCATAGCTATATTAGGAGCCATGGCAAAATTATAAAGTTAAGGCACTTATGTGTGTTTTATCCGTTTAACTCTAAAAGCCTATACACGTCTTTGCCTATGATTTTCTGAAAATATATTCTCTTGTCGGGTTTTGGCAGTTGCAACCAAAGCCTTGAGTCACCATTGATATAAAGGAAATTCTTAAAAACTTTCTGGTACTCAATCTGGTCTTGATATGTCAATAAAATTACACTCCAGGATTAATCACTTTAAATTTGATCACTTATTTTACAAGTAGAGCGTTAAGAGAATCCCCGAGCCGTGGAGAGAGCGCTGATACAGCTGAGCGAGATCACAAGTCCCTGCTTGAAGTAAAAGTGGCAGGGACCAGCTGCGGCTGACAGCAATCTCCACGGTCGACACTGAACTGGCAGCTCGCAACGGGCTGTCGCGTCGAGATCACCTCGGAACTCAGAGCGCCTGCGTGGGAAAGAACCGTCGCTCGAGATGCCGAGTGTCCCTTTTATTCCTCTATCACCTTACTTTTTATATCTCATCTTTCTGTAACTTAGATAAACCCCCTTCAAGACGATGATTATGAAATCCATATACAAAACTAGCTGGAAAATTAGGCTCTGGTTGATCTCTTGCATAAAATTATTCCTTTTTGCTCATACGTATTCGTATGTGTGTTGTAGATTTGACGTCACTCAGCCAGCCCAGCTCCCGGATGCTGTGTGCCTCAAGACTGGCACCGAGAGGAAGCTGACCCACCAGGCCTTTGTTTTTTCTCGTGTTTTAAAATTTTCCCAGCGTTTGCATTCCGCAGCAGGACAGTGATGAGATCATCAGTGCAACAGCACAGCGCTAGCAACATCAACGCAGCAATACATTGCTGGCAGCAATCAACGTAGCACTATAGTGCTGGCAGTAATCAACGCAGCAGTACAGTACTGCCAGCAATCAAGGCAGCAGTACAGTGCTAACAACATTAACAGCGTGCTCGGGAGTTGGGAGGCAAGAGATGCACTGTACCGGAACTGGTGTTGTCTGGTCAATAGCCGCTGTCTCTGGGGCTGCCGGGGAAACTTTTTGTGAGGGCTGGAGGTGTCTTGGCATTTCCTGACGACGGGTCGGCAGCCAGTACCCCAGTGATCAGGCAGAGTTTGCAGCTGGTGGTTATGTAGAGTTCTTGACGGTGCTGCAGTGGCAATGTTGTGCACTTTTGCCTTGCGTACGAACACTGGATCATGGGAGTCACTGAAGGCACTGCAGACTGAGAGTGACACAAACAGAAGTTGTCTCTGTTCACGTCTGCTTACCGATGTAAGGAGGCAGTCAATGAACCAGGAGATTAACACGCGTTACGGCGACTCTTGCGTCCAGAAATTGTCAGCAGACGCCAGGAAAACCTATTCCAACGCTAGATGTCCTAGAGGCACACTTACCGTGTCATGCTTGGTTCAGTAAATCACAGTTTTAATTACTCTGTGCATAAGCTTCAGACTACCTTTATTGCACAAACTTGGCGCCACTGTATCTTAGCAGCACTCGTGCAAGCTTTTGGATCACTCTGATTTTTCTGCCGCGGGAGCTTTCAGAGAACAAGCTGCAGCAGAGAGCGTGTAAGCCCAACACGGTCTTAGAGCAGACTGCAGAGTCTGTGTGGTCACAGGGCCGCCAGCACACCTACTGACGCCTCGCCTCGGGTCGCCGCCAGTCACGCTGAAGGCTCTAACCTGGAAATTAGAGGAAGAATATAAAGGTCTTGGCACAGCCACCAGCCCCAACTTTCACATACAGTGGAAAACTCCAGAATTACATGCTGGTGCCAAGTCTCACAATACTAGGGCTAGTGAAACTTTAAGGTTTTTACCTCTTTTGTTAGGTAGTCGTTAGTGAGTCTTTTGTTACTTAAGTTCCTGATTTTTCGTAACTCGTTGTTTGCCTAAAACTTAAGTTTTTACTAAAATGTGAGGTATCTCATTGAAAGGGTTGTGCTGTCAAACTTCTAAGCTTGTTTAACCTTTGTTTCAGCTCACTCGGTAGAAATGGGAACCCTTTTGACAGAAAAAAACAATATACAGCCAAAATTACATTAGTTACTTAAATGCGCTTGAAATATTATACAACGATTGTCAGTGTGAAATCTTCGTACCAAACTCCGTAGACTTTCCCGACGACTTGTAGAAGTACGATCAAGGTCTTCCTGGTGATACCCAGCAGAGGGCAGGCAATGCTTATCTTCCTGGTGGTACCCAGCAGAGGACAGGCAATGCTTATCTTCCTGGTGGTACCCAACAGGGGCAGGCATCGCTTATCTCCCTGGTGGTATCTAGCAGACCCAGGCTGAGCTTATCTTCCTAGAAGTACCCAACAGAGGTAGACTTACATCGTTATAAGGAATAATTTTACCTGTAATAATACCGAGGGCACATGCAGTTAACTGCATCTACTTGGAACTCTTGTGATTTTCCTGTGTCGTTTTTAATCCTTGCAAGTTATTACACTCGCACATCAAGGGCGCACGAGTAATGAGTTGCTTATACAGCAATTGATAACAATTTGTAAGTTGTCGTTGTCCAACCTGCTACCCAGTTACATAGTGTATTTACACGCGCACGATTTATTTTTTTCAGAAAAGCATTCATTGTTCTCATGTTAGATTGTTAGATTCGTTTAGGATAACTTGTAATAAGTTAGGTTACTTAATATTTCCCGACAGCAATAAAATGAAAAAAAAGGTTGCTTGCGTCTGGCAGTGCGGGGGTGTATAGCAAAATCTCGACAGTGCATTTCGTCTCTTACGCAAAAATAACGTTGAGAATGAGCTGCGTTGTTATTGTGTAAGGTTTTACCCATTGTTTGTTGGTGCTCGCTCGAGTACATGTTTGTGAATGTCATCTTGTAAGTACAACCATATCTCGAGTACGTGTGACTGTTATCTAATGAGTATAGTTATGTCACGAGTACATATGACTGTCACCTTGTGAGTACAGTCATGGTTCGAGTACATGTCACTGTCTTCTTGGGAGTGCAGTCATAGCTAGAGAACACTTGACTATCATCTTTTGTGAACAGTCATTCCTCGATACACGTGACTGTCAGCTTTGAGTGCAGTCGTATTTCGAATACATGCGACTCCTAGCTGTGAGTACAGTCACTGCTCTAGTACATACGACTGCTTCGTTGTAAGAATAATGATAGCTCGAGTACATATGGCCGTCGTACAATGAGAGTACATGATTGGTGTTGCCTGGTATTAGACAGCGACAGTACGTAACTGGTGTTCTCTAGTGTCAGACAATGACAGTACATGACTGGCGTCAGACGGTGACATTACATGACTGGTGATGTCTGGTGTCCGACAGTACATAACTAGTGTCGTCTGGTGTCACAGTACATGTCAAGTGTCGTCTAGTGTCAGACAGTACATGACTAGTGCCGTCTAGTGTCAGACAGTACATGACTAGTGTCGTCTGGCGTCAGACAGTAAATGACTAGTGTCGTCTGGTGCCAGACAGTACATGACTAGTGTCGTCTGGTGCCAGACAGTACATGACTAGTGTTGCCTGGTGGCAGACAGTACATGACTAGTGTTGTCTGGCGTCAGACAGTACATGTCTGGTGTCAGCACCAGTCATGAACTGTCTGACACTTCACATGTAATTCTCCTTTTCCTTTTCCTTCTTCTCCTCCTCCTACTAATTCTTTTCCTTCCCCTTCTCCTCTTCTACCTCTTCTTCCTCCTCCTCCTAAGGTATGAGTCAGTGGCTGGTCCAGTTATTGGTTTTCCTTATCGCCGGCCACGTCTCGTCCTACTCACTGTGGTGACCTACTCATGACCTACTCGTGATCTAGTAGTGATCTCGTAATCTAATCGTGACCAACTAGTGACGTACTCATGACCTATTCGTGACTTACTCGTGACTTCGTGACCTAGTGATCTACTCGTGATCTAGTAGTGACCTAGTGGCTTACTCGTGGTCTAGTACTGGCCTACCAGTGACCTACTTGTGACCCAGTGGCCTACTAGTGACCTATTAGTGACCTAGTAACCTACTCGTTAACTACTATGGGCGCCTGTCCTGGATTTTGTCTCTGCAGTGCATCTACAGGCCCACCTTCAGTATTGCGTTCCATCGTTCTGTACTATTGCTTCGTGTTGCGTTGAGAGTATTGCAAACAGCGTTTGTTATAGTGGGTTATGCCAAGACACGTGTTAGGCGACTGGTGATCGAGTATACCGTAAAACAATTCCCCAGATTATCTCCACAGCGCTGCTGGCGAATTGTTCCTCCTACTGGGGTAGAGTATCAGCGAACTCTTACTGTTGCACAGTAAGAGCGGACTGACCACATCGACTCAAGGTTGAGGGACTGATTACCTCATTCTCCTCCTGACACCTTATATTCTACCCACTGGTGACGTGTACTTAGCTCTTTGAAGACCTGTTTTTGTGCTCTGAATCTGAACCAGGATGCCCTCTCTTGACCAACTTTACCAGCAGCTGAAAGTAGAGCTTAGGGTTGCTAAACTGGAGATAGGGCGATTAACGGAGGAGAACAGGAGGATTCGTAGTAATTCTCCTGTTGTGAGTCCCCAGGATAAGAGGGGAACTTGGTCAGTGGCCGGGCAACATGAAACCAAGCTAAGGATCAAGAAGACTGTTGGAGAGGCAGAAACAACGAGAAACAAGAAGACTACTGTGGAAACTTCCAACCCATTTTCGGTGCTACATGACGAATGTGGGTGTTCTACTGGGAATGCCACAACGAGCACCAAGGAAGCATTGGCTGACGTGAGTGAGACATCCCTGGAAACCCCAACGAAGACCATCGAGAAAGTCTTGACGAATTCCATAAGTGAAGGTGTAGTGCTACCAAACGTATGTGAGTCGGCTACTGGGAACATCATGACGGACGTCGCCAAGGAAGGTAAAAACATTGTTGTTGTTGGGGATAGCCAGATTAGGTACATGGATAGGGCATTCTGCTTGAAGGATAGGAGAAGGAGGCAGTGTGTGTGTTTTCCTGGGGCTGGGATGAAGGATATTGCTAGCCGTCTGGATGACATGAGAGGTAATGGGAGCAATCCTATTATCTGTCTCAGTGCTGGAGGCAACGATATTGGCAGACGTAGGAGTGAGGACCTGATTAGCAGGTATAGGTCAGCAATAAAGATAATTAGGAGGAAGGGTGGGAACCCTGTCTTAGGTGATATTTTGCCAAGGAGAGGAGTTGGAAATGAATGGTTGTCCAGGGCAATTGGTATCAATTGCTGGCTGGACAAATACTGTAAGGAAAATGCGGTAACATTCATTGACAACTGGGACCTCTTCTATGGCAGAAATGACATGTATGCCAGGGATGGGGTTCACTTATCTAGGTTTGGGGTGGGAGCACTGGCCAACGCAGTGGAGGGGGCTGTTAGGTCTTTAAACTAGGAATATTTAGTGGTATGGGTTTTGGCGGGAAAACAGTGAAGTCCCAGTGTAGTAATATGAGTACTAGGAGAAACAGTAATAGGCAAAATGAGGTGGATATTGGAAAGCCAGTGGCACTAGGTGACAAGGACAGTAATAGGTTTAGTGGAATAACAGAAAGGAGCAGAAAGGGTAAAGAGAAAGGAGGGTCCTTAAATATATATTACACAAATAGTCGTAGTGCTAGGAATAAGATGGACGAGTTGAGACTAGTTGCTTGTGCAGGTAACGTTGATGCATTTGCCTTAACTGAGACGTGGCTCAATTCGAAAAATCGGGACATGCCTGCGGAATGTCACATTCAGGGTTTTAAATTGTTCCATGTAGATAGAAGTATCAGGAAGGGTGGTGTGGCACTGTATGTCCGAGATCGCTTGAACTGTTGCATAAAAACGGGTATTAAATCTGAAGTAACACATACAGAGTCTGTTTGAATAAAATTTTCAGAGGGACATGAAAAATTGATTTTAGGTGTAATGTACCGTCCCCCAAACTTAGATAGGGACCAAGGGAGACTACTATGGGAGGAAATTGTTAAGGCCACAAGGCACGACAGTGTAGTAATTCTGGGAGAGACTAACTTTAGTCATATTGATTGGAATTTCTTTACGGGGAATTTAGAATCAAACGACTTCTTAGAAGTAGTTCAGGATTGTTTTTTGAAGCAGTTTGTGACAGAACCTACAAAGGGAAATAACCTGCTTGACTTGCTTTTGGCAAACAAGGAAGCCCTTGTTAATAATTTAGAAATGACAGAAGAACTCGGCACAAGCGATCACAAATCAATTACCTTTAGCATTGAATGGAAGTATGATAACAGGGATAATTCAGTACTGGTCCCAGATTTTCGCTTAGCAGATTACAATGGGCTTAGAGAACACTTATCATCTGTGGACTGGGGTAACGAAGAGAGCTATCAGTATGACAGCTTTCTTAACACAATACATGCTGCCCAAAGGACATTTATCCATTTAAGGAAATTAGACCGAATAGAAATGACCCCAAATGGATGAATAATAGGCTAAAATATCTTTTAGGACAGAAGAAAGGAATTTATAGGCGAATCAAAAGAGGTGAGGGTCATCTTATGAATCAGTATATTGACATTAAGAGGGACGTTAAATAGGGGAAAAGAAAAGCTAAACGGGACTAAGAAATTAAAGTTGCTAGGGATTCGAAAACTATCCCAAAAAGTTTT